AGCCTAAGCTTATTCCATTTATAGATGGCAGTCATATGACTAGGCTTTCCGCGTTTCATATTGTCAGGACAATTGCCTAAACCTGTTTTTGGAGACATTCGCTGAACTCGAAAAACATTGCGGTAATAGAGAAGTTCTAATCAAATTTTATCTTTGACGGAATGTAAGCATTCATTAGTTCATAGATAAGTCTAAGGATCACACGTTCAAAACCAGCAGGATCTCACGTTGACGAGTCCTGAGTGGAAGGATGTGGTCAAAGGGTTCTTAGAATTTAGACAATGGCGTAAAATAATAAATACGGTAATGGTGGTGCTGGTCGCGCCCGTGGCCGCACAACATCATCGCGCGATTTTGAAATATCATCCATCACACATGGGATATTTTTTGCATATTATGTTGACAGTGATCAAATCTCTAGGGTAAAAAAATTTGGGCCTTTTTTGGGCATTACTTGCCCTATCTTGGGCCTCCCCTTGTTAGCTTCTGGACCCGCCAGTGGGCACTGGCGGATCCAGAGGGGCCATGCCTGGCCATGGGTGGGCCAAGAGGTCCCCAAAAATTTTGTAGGGCCTAACATGGGCCTTTTTTAGCATAACTCGGCCTTTTTGAGTATAACTTGGTCTTTTAGGGCCTTTTATAGGTCAAATTATCAAAAATTGGGCCTTAAAATTTCAAAAAAGTTTTCCTGACTTGAAATGTGAGCCCCCCGCATATTAGCTTCTGGATCCGCCAGTGGTGGGTATACAGTCCATTTTATACATGGTGTCCAAAACAATTGTACCTGGACAGACATGCAATGTAATACTCTGAGTGATGAAGAAATAGCATTGAAATTTGATCATCTGACAAATTAATATTTATAAAGATCTTAACGTTTACACCAGGTATCTCTATTTTGTTTTAGAGAAAAGTTTGTTTTTACACCATCAGCCATTTTTCCATGTAGCACAGAGACAATCGTGGAATAACTTTGTGAGTGTAGAAGGAATATTCTTGAAATCTGATCACGTGACAGCGCCATCACCCCGGGCATTTTCCACATTTGGATTTGCATTCAGCTCTGCATCTATCTTTATCCTGTAAAAAGAAGAAACTTATTCCTGTTTCATCTGGGTACACTTTTTTGGGACACCCTCACCCTGTATATCAAACCATGAGAGTCAACCTATACGTAGTACTAGGCGTTGTGGTTGTGGTTTAATAGCTCAGTGTCAGAGCCTAGTACACGGACATGAAACTGCTGATGGAAAGGGTTAACTAAACGTCGCCTCAGTACATGCAGTAGTAAATGATTTTCGAGGAGCATCTATTGAGATATTGAGACTGGACGCCGCTGTTTGCCGCTATATATAGTAAATCATGTGATCGGTGATTTCTGAGAAAGCATACTATACGATCCCCGGATACGATCTCCTGGGGTGATTAATTAGTCAATAGACAACCGATATAACCGTCTGGTCAGAGAATTCTTAGGATCCTTATTAGTATCCTGGTCACTTACTGGTCATCACTGGTCATCACTTAGACCAGTTAGCTAAAGCCAGATACGTGTGAAGGCCATCAAATTACATCTAATTTCAATTTCAATTTAACTTCAATTTATTCCTTAATAATATAATAAAATACAGAACATATAAAAGGTTTAACAGGTGACATCATTTCTGATGTTTGTACCCGTACACGTTAAAGCATAATTATAATATTACGAATATTAAGAGCAAGGTAAGGCAGTTACTATGAATCTAGTAAAGGGGCGGGATGACATCTTCTCTTGATGTTGATGGCCTAAGGAAACAAACCTGCCCATACAAAATTTTGTTAAATGAATTCTCACGATCTCAGCCTTAGTTTAAGTACTTCAAGACCACTTTTCTTTAAGATTCCAAAAACTACTAATTAAAAAGAAGATTTTTCAATTTGGCTAAATTTCAAACACTCAACATCTAGTCCGAGTACACAATCAACAATACAAAAACTAGGGTTATTGTTCAAATACGAGTGAAATGGATACTTGATATGTTTATTCTTACTGTTATTTGAGTTATTTTACAGTAACTAATTAATATATATACAACAAAAATATTGGTTACTAAAAGTAAAGGCACATATGAATTGTTAGAATTTTTATCATGAATATACACATGAATATATAGTACCCCCCACACAATTTTGTCGCCAACTTTGATGTGTTGTAGAAAAATATCCAATAAGAGATTTCTCATGAAATTTGGTATACATTAAATTGAAACAATTTGTGATACTCAAATTTTTTTGTTTGGGGTAATATGACTTCACCACAATTTGACTTCGGTTTCTAAATTGCTACGCATTTACAGATTTGACCTAAATTAAGTTAAATTTTGAAACAATTTGTAACAAATTGATTACAAAAAAATTTGAATATTCTGGTCAATCCTATCCTATTAAACACCATTATAATCCACTGGTAAAAGAAAAACTGAACAAGCAGGAGTTACCGTTATAATGTTACAATGTTATGATGTTACCCCTGAAAGTTCACATGTTTAATCCATGTGAATCATTTCCAACGAAAGGTAAGCCGTTGGTGGCCACCTGTGAGGTATTGGGCTAGGCCAACGAAAAATTGAGTGCAAGCTCACTGCTAATAATGCCTTAATTGTCTTAAACAAAATACAACCATTTTCTTGAGATTTTATGAGATGCTGGAAAGGATTTTTTAATCGAGTGAGACAGTTGGAAATGCTGTAGTGGTAGGATGGGATAGAAATCCAAGCAGGGATGTGTTTTGGTGCCCTGATAAACCTTTTTTGGCTTAAAGCCAACAAATCATACGATACATGCACCTGTTCATGTATTGAAAGTATTAAAAGGGGTCTTCACTCTTAAACAATAATAAAACCACACTTACAATATACCTGTTTAGGAGTTAAACATCTCCAACACATAGTAACAATATCTTAAGAAAACAGACAAACCATATGTAATGCAATAAGTTTGTAATCAAAATGATTTAAACTCTCTTTAAAACTGCAAAACTGGAAATTTTCGTCGAATTTTGTTAAAACATGAATATTTTAAAATTGCTTGTTTTTTGTCAATATTATTTACATTTCCAAATAAAAAAATTTGAGTGTCACAAAATGTTTCAAGTCTAAGTATGCCAAATTTTATAAGCAAACTCTTTTTGGATATTCTTCTACAATACATCAAAGTAGGCGACAAAATTGTGTGTGGGGTACTATAATATATATTCGTAATGATAATTTATAACAGTAACTGTTATGCGTTGCATTACACGCGCGCCTAGGCTCCTTTGCCTAGATCTGCGAACGGCAGAAAAGTGAGGCGATGTGATACACCAGAATTACTTGTTTGTATACGTACGTACAAAGTAAACTTTCGCTTTTGACTTCCTCATGTGTCAGATTTTGAGAAATGATTTGAACTTCACTATAATTTGTCCTTTGGAAGTAAAAGTTCAAGTAATACCGGGGAAGGAATTCATTTTTACACGTACATGACAACAGTTGCCAATAGGCCTGTGAATAATATACTACGCAATCTACACTACTCACGAAAAGTATGGATACTCAAACTCGCAGATTCAGGCTGTTTATGATTGCTAAATCAAAAAGATTTTAGTCATTTTCGACAGGCGGCCGGAGAGTGATAGTTACCTAACTTTTAGAAGGGGGTGTTCTTTGAGATATGAGCAATCATGGTGTCATTTTCGTGAGAATTGTGTAATCTTGAATTCTCCTATTAGGTCAGCGATGTCAATAGTTTAGTCATAAGGCCTTGTTTTCTGAAGAAAGATAGTGGGTTTGTCCAGTCATATCCTGAGAGTCATATACACTCCCCTTCATAAGTTTGGCTTTTCCAGTTATATCCTAAGTGTCACATACACTCCCCTTCATAAGTTTGGATTTTCCAGTCATATCCTAAGTGTCATATACATTCCCCTTTATAAGTTTGGCTTGTCCAGTTATATCCTAAGTGTCACATACACTCCCCTTCATAAGTTTGGCTATTCCAGTTATATCCTAAGTGTCATATACACTCCCCTTCATAAGTTTGGCTTTTCCAGTCATATCGTAAGTGTGGCAATTTAAAAAATCATAAAATTAATATTTAAACATTGACAGGCATTGATAATAACCAATGAAATCTTCCGGATGCCAAGCTTATTGCGAGTAGTGTATTTTCTAAGAGCTGTGAGGTCTGCACACGTGTGACCTTAGCCTATATTGGTATGGTAACTTCAGCAAGAGATTTGATTGCTAATCTCGGCTATAAGTGAATCTGACAAAACAATTCACTTTCACTTTTTTACCATAACTATCAAACATTCTCTCAGCATGACCACTCTAACATGTCCACACTCCACAAAACATGGACCCTCAGAATGGGGAAAACTTCATCCTTGGCTCAAGAGTAATTCATTGCATTACATTATGATCTGCTATGAAAGCAGTGAAGGACCGATCTTGAAGGATGGAAAACCTTACAATTTGAGATTCATACGACATATCATATGGATTTAATGGGGCTTCAACTTGGGGGCTTCGAACAATGATGGTACTATTTGGTACGGAAACATATCATGAATTAAAAAAACTACATGTATTGTAAATGGCAAGTCTGTAACAATGATTTTAATTCATAATTGAAATAAACATAAAACTATAACAAAGTTTTACTAGTACTTCAGTTTGCTTTTTTATCCTTACTTTCATTGCATCACTAAACATAAAATGTGGAATAATATTTTAAACCCAACTTTTTATTTCATTCTTTCAACATGTTACATACCTGACATTTATCTTCAACTTACACAATTTAAGAGACACTAATAAAAAAACAAGTTAAGAATTCCAATAATGTCTCTGATGTAGAAATAGAAATAGAGAATATAATCAAGATGTAATTTATTTAGTTAATAGAGACTTTAGCTAAATTAGCTAATGAGACAAAGCACAACTAATAAAGACTTTATTAGCCAATAGCTAATAGAGACTTTATTAGCCAATATAATTTATTTAGCTATATTATGTTATGACAGTTATAATATAATAAATATTGAAGACATTTTTGATGAATTCAAAGGATCATAAATTAACACTCTTTTGGGTGTTTCTTTTCAAAGCAATTTCTATATCTTATTTTAAGTGTGGCATCAAGTGTATATACAATATTTATTAAACAAACAAAAACTTGATGCTTGAAATTTTGCTTAAGATCCTTTAATGCTGAACCCCATTCTTTAATCTTATGTACTTTCAAATGGTACATACAGAATGAGGGTATATCATATCAATATTTGACATATATCATACAATTAGTACATATAAATATTTAAAATATTATAAATTTAATGAATTATATTTGTGAGAATTTTTGTACAAAGTTTACAAGGTTTGGGAGAATTAGCCTTAAAAATCAACAAAGTTACAAAGAACAGTGTTTGCACTATTGAATAGTCTAAGATGTCCTTATATAAAACCAGGTGTGACTTAGTGAGGTGATTTAACTCTTGTGCAATAATGTTCAATAAAAGTACATTTAGCAGAGTTAAATAAATATTGAACAAAATCCAAAAGTCAAGAGACATTGATTATGTTTGAGTGATGTCACCATTTTACAACACAGAGCCCCAAAGTAGCTCGAAAGAGGAGCAAATTACAATTGTTTAAGGCTTTCAATTGGTTTTTAGGCATGTGTCATAAACTGGGTTTTATTTCGTTATTCATAGATATTTCGAGAAAAAGTACTTTAGGAGTGTGAGTGTGAATGGGTACAAGTATTGATAAAAGATTGATTCATCATCATAAATGAATTGATAGAACTAAGAGAAAAAGGAAGAATGTAATCACATTATGACAAGTTATCTGCACTTTGTACGACTCCACTTCCAGAATACATTCATAAATAACATTAATTAACAGAACAATGTCTATATACTAAACATTATATTAAATATGAATTTGAAATATAAATAAATAATATAGCATATTATTCTTCATACATAATGGAGGGGGTGTAGCAAATATATAATATAGAATATTATTTTTCATACAATGTAGGGGGTGTACCAAATAAATAATATAGAATACTATTATTCATACATAATTTAGGGGGTGTACCAATATCAGAACTGAGAGCATAAAATTCTTGAGGTCAACATACAGTCAAATCAATAGGAGACACATAGAAACTTCATCATATCAGAGACACATAACATAACACATGTCTGATCATATCGATACTTAATATGAACACATCAAAATGAGATTTCATAATTTATGTTATCTCTGAATTAGTTTGACTGTAATAAGAAAAAATGGTTAATGCAATTCAATTGATCAAGAATAGCTGATAGTTGCAACAACTCCTACATATTTGTTGAATAAATAACAATAATTCCCTACTTTATTTTTACCACATTACTTTCTATGTGATTTCCCAGTTATGGGATTCTCTTTAATATATTTTTTCACTTGTTCTGGTAGAGGTAGGTCTTGGATGTGTTTATCAGGAACATGTTCATTTATGGTCTTTCGACATGAGTGGCTCAGAGTTGGTAGTCCATGAACTAGGGGAAACAGAATTTTTACAGGCTCACTTTTTCGACCAGATTGTTCCAACCAAACACATTTACCTGGTTTGGAGGTGACACTCAATTTCATGTAGTAATGTACTAGTTTCAATACCGACGTAAACTTTGGCATTTCATTTTTGATTTGAGCGTCGCAATCAATCGAAAACATACCTCGTTCATAGAGCAATCGAACACTGGTTGTACCTCGTGGAGTTTTAACGCTGAGGGAATACAGGTAATGACTATCTGTACTGTCACGTATAAGAAATGTTCCATTTTCACGCTTATTCAGAATCTTTTTTGCCCCTCTACTCGTCATTCGTGGATAGTAGAAATGGCATTCTTTAAGCTGCTGATCTGTTTCTTGTAGAATCGTTAGATCGTTGACGCTGTTGAAATCAATGGAAACGAGTCTACACGCTTCAATTTCTTCATCACCATGTGACTTCAGGTTATCACCCGCATACTCTGGCTGAAAATGGAACAAACTACCACCACTATCTTCTCGGTCTGAGTCCTTGAGAGTGTCACACTCTTCCGTACACTCTTCACCCATCTGGTCACTTTCAACATCATTTTGATGAGTATTCTTTGAGTTCACCTGAGTAATAGTTTTACCCTGATAATCTAGATAACTGTGCTTATGGTCCATGTTTTGACTCGATTTATTCTCTTCTGACAGACAAATCAGTCCATTTTGAGTAAAGTTCCCTTCTTTTGGGGTATATGGGGGAGGAGGTTCATTATCTAGTTTTTCATGAGGGGCCTGTAGCGCAGATATCCTTCCATTTTCACTGTATATAGGAGGAGGACCTCCAGGCACAGGTGCATGTATTGTCCCATTCTTAGCAGATATATCCATCATGTTAGCACCTGCCCCATATCGGTAAATGGGGTTTTCATAAGAGTCGGTGGGCCCTGTCCTTCTACATGCCATGTTCGTCCTTTCTCTTTGATTTGGCCTAATCATTCTAGTAGTCTGAATAGCAGCCTGCCTTTCAGAGATGGTGACCGAATCTGTTGGACACATTGTTGTGTTTGCCTGTTCTGAAGGGCTCATCTGCTGGGTGTTGAACGACTCTGGCCGAATGCCCTGATATAAAAATAATTTCCCAATTTGTATTGCCGGATTCAGACAGTTCAACCCTTTCTCTTCATGTAGGTTTTTTAAGAAAACTAAGTGTCTCAGTCTCATAAAACAGCTGTTTCACAACACTCTATTGTCAATAGTATTGAGCATTCGCTGACTGTTTCTGATTGTAAACTTTTAAAAACCTCCATCGACGATTTATACTGTGGTCAAACTCATTCCGAGAATAAATACTCATATAATGAATCCGTTTATATTGACTTCTCGACGTCTTCTATTAACAACAGTGTACGTCCTCTATTAGTTCTAAGAATACTGTTCTAAATGAACTAAAGATTATTTATCACTGATCTCTTCTTCGAAGCACACCCCATATATGGCAGAGGCGGTCCTTAGTCAGTTCACCTCACTTATTAAGCCCCGCCTTCTTATGACGTAGATTGCTGGAGTGGATTGCTGGGGAATCCCCCAAATGGATTTCCATAAACAAAATGTCAAGATGACATGCGTAGTATATTGACGTAGTTTTCGAACATCTAGAATCTTTCTAACTAAAATGACATTCCGATCATATAAAGTAAACAACAAATAGCAAGCATACTCTCAATACGCACATTATAGGCGGGAACCATCAAAACAAATCTAATATTTTCCGATATCATTACGTACTCATTTCCACTGGTTGTTGTTTGTCTCCCATTGATTTTGATTGCACCGGTTTGACCGTTTCGAGGGCAATGACCGACCCTGTTCCAAGACAACGTCGAGTAAACAACCCATCATCACAGAAATAATGAATCAGTCACATGTTTCCTTTTGTACACCAAATAAAAGCCACAAAAGGCGGAGGATTGGCGTTTTCTCCTGGGCGTTTTCTGCTCAAGTTCTGAATTTTTTTTTCTGAAGTTACCCCCCCCCCTCTGGTATATTTTCCATATTGTATTGTCTATTTTAATAACATTAAAATAGTCAATATAAGAGCATGAACTTCTAATCACTGAACTGCAAACGTCAGTCTTGTAGAATTATGTGATCAAGTCCATGATAAGAGCCCGGGGATAAGAGGGAGGGTTGACTATTACTTCCCATGCCCAAACTGTTTTAGTGTGGCCCAAATCACTCAGTCACTGGTGGATCCAGATAGCTAAGGGGAATATTTCAAGTAAAAATATCGTTGCACTTGTGCAGGAAAAAATTGGCCCACTAAACCCATGGGCTCTACTCTGATAGAGCCCATGCTAAACCTAAAGGTTTGGCTCAAATTTTGAAAGTTTAAGGCCCATTTTTAATGATTTGGCCATATCCAAAAAGGTCAAAAGGGCCCTTGAGGCCCAACTTTTTAGTGCCCAAATTTTTTCTGGGCCAATCCTAGGGGGTTGGGGCCCTGGATCTGCCAGTACAAATGATTAAAAGAACAGTTTCTTTCTTTCTGTTGTTCTCACAGGTTGTTAGTGAACTGATAAAATAAATATCTTCTTATCATTCAATTGATTTTTCTTGTAACTTTATGATTATGGTTATTTTTAACAGCGCAAGTACATTAGACTTGACATGATGGAAATGTAAAATGCGATTATTAATAATTTCTACAAATTGGCTATCATTATTATGAAAATAAACCAGGAACAAGGATGTCAAACAGTTTCATAACTGATTATTCATATTTAAAGGAATTTTCACTTCAAGTTATTTTTCCTACATGTAGGAGGTGCATGCCATATTTGTTACATGTACAACCATTTTTCCAAATAAAGGCCTATTTTCTCAAAAACAAGGTCTACGTATATGCCAAAGTGAAAAAGAAATCATTTTTTGGGCCTGGTGTTTTATAAATTTGATTAAATTTTAACTCTACATGTAATTATTTGACTGCTTTCGCACTAACCTAACTTTGATTTATTATTCTTGTCTCAGATATAGGTGAATTCTCAAAATGAATAAACATGTCCAATTTACTAATCGAGAGCAGAGTTAACCAATAACAACTGAATACTCTCTTAGAAGTTAATTTTTGATAACTTCAATATGAGACTAGTGTTTCAAATATTAAAAGTTAGGAGCATGTTTTTTGAAGTAGGGGTCAAATAAGAACCAAAACTTTGTCTTGTATGATATCGTCAGACCGCCTCCCTATCTTCTTTACTTCTAAATGTAACTGGGCAATGGGGGGGGGGGGGGTATAAGGCCAGAATTTTTAGAATTGTTATTTAATGCAATATATTATATTGGTCCACCCCATCCCCCTGCCCCCTCAGTGCTTTTGGATTTGATTCACAATTTCATCACCTTAAGATTGCTTTAATAAGGAAATCAAATATCAGAAGTACACAGAAATTTTATGAACTCATGGACAATCAATTAGAAGTAAATCTTACCAACTCATGATATCAAACAAATAAAATTAACACTTCCAGAAATAGGATGATTGAATGATGACGAAGGAAAGAAATCTTTTTAAATGATTCAGTACTGTTCCTGTTGTCATAAACATATTCTCAGAATTTCACAAAAAACAATTTTCAGTTTTTATTGATTCATGCTTTATTCAATAAAAATCACATTTGAAAAATATTTACTTTTATTTTATTTACAATATACACAAGCAAAAAATAACACTTCTTAGACATAATTGTAGAAAATGAAAACAGAAAATAAAACTTTGGTATTTATTTATATTTTCTGATTCATTTGTTCAATACAATAAATCATCCACCTGAATTCTGGAGAGTGACCTAAATTCTTTTAATCCATATTATAATAAAATTTACATACAGACATTCGATTCAAGAAATAAAAATATGAAAACATAAATTCTGAATATTTGAATGAAGCATTGGTAAAAATAAAACCCACACAAAGGTTATTTAAGTTTAGAATTTACGCATAACATGTTTATATTTTGTTTACTACATTTTTGTACTACAGAAACTATTCAAAAAGCTAACGTATAATTGTATAAATGGACCTAATAATAAAATAACTTTATTGATGGAAATGACATCTGGAGATTAAATGTCAGACATCACGTAAATATTTGTTGCAATTGAAACACAATGTACTCTTATATATATGAGCAACTCACAGTGCTGTTTATTTTAATTTCATTTATTTTGCAAAGATTTGCTGCATCTCTCATTGTACTACATTGTGAAAATCATTTGACAATATGCCAATTTGCTATATATAAATCAACTACATATCCTGATTAAGGTAGGTGTGAAAGAAACTATGGTCCCCCAGGGATTATGGCCCCCTTTTAAAGGCCCTTACTGGCCCTGATTGTGTATAAGATAATAAGGGTAAGAGGTTACCATATAAATCAATGGAGAGTAGAACCATAAATTAATAGGACTTCCTACCCTTTTACATAGGCATTGAATGAGTAATTTGGCTGATATTAACATTTTACATATACATTGTAGATTAAAAAATCTCACATTCCACCCACCTTAATGATAAACCTGATTGAATTCATAAATAATAAAAATATACAATAATTAAATAATTTCATTTCAAATAAATTAATCTTAAATTATTAAATATATAAGCCTATATCATGTACATGACTATATACATTTTGTACCTACTTTACAATAAATACATGCAAATTCTCTTGCATATGAATATGTAAAAAATCATATATTGGACGGATTTTATTGTATATTTGCATACTATATACCCGACTATATAGTAAAATATATGGTGAGATATCTAGAGTGAGAGGTCTGGTATATTTATATATATATTAAGATTATATTGTCAAAGAGACCCCCTGGAATTTTTCAAAAACTAGCAAAAGCTGGCTATGGGTCTGCAGATAATACATTGAAAATAGCTTGGAATATCTGGTTCTTGAAATTGCACTTTTATCTTGCCTACTTGCAGTGCTATTGCTTTTTCAACTGTTATCAATCAACACCTGGATTTCTGAGAAATACAATTTATCAATGCATTATTGATGTGTCCAGATTGTAGGGCAATTCTACAAATAACCAAATGTTTATATAGTGTTTTAACCCATTTGAACTAATGTATAGCAGAGTGTTCATATTGTGTTTTAACAAACCATACATGACTGACCAACAAATGATCTTTGATATAACTGCCTTGCACATATCATAATACAAATAGAAAACAATAAATAGCGCATTTAAATCTAAAATAATATACACTGACACAATCAATTACTTTTACCCCCTCCACTTTAAATAAAATCCACATCTTGGTGAAATGAGTATAGGTATTTTGCTGATTGGATACAACCCCTAGGAGACCTTGAGTTCAACTTCTACGATATCCCAACTTCCAAGAACTTCATTTTTTGCTTTCATCTGTCGGGCTCAAAGCAGATTTTTAATTTCATCTACAGCTACCCTGCATCTTCCCCAACTAGCCATGTATCCCTCTGACTATTACAGGCAGTTTTAAAGTTGATTTTGAATCTATCACTAGTCTAAGAATGCCTGCCATGGGACCCGAGCCACCCAACCCTTGGATGGGCCTAGAGAAAAAATTTTGGGGCCTCAATTAGTGGGGCTTTGTGGCATTCAAAAAATGAGCCCCAATTTTTGGTTTAGGCATGGGCTTTCAAATTGAAAGCCCATGGTTTAGGGGCCTAAAATATCAAGCAAGCGTGGATTTTTTTCTGATTTTAAATTTAGGTCCCCCCTTCTTAAGTAATCTGCCCTTGAACTTTGAATTTGCTGAAGAAAGCTAGGTGAACTAGATGTAAGATGATATGTACCAAGTCTACATGAGAATGGAATGTGGAATGTGAAATGTGATCTTTTCACTCCCAAACACACTTTCCGTATGACATAAAAATACGTTCATCTTGAAAAGCACCAGGCCTTGCAAATCTAGCAACTTATTCATAACCTAATGTACTGTATGTGCATGTACATCTAATATCAAACTAGAAAAAAGAGGAACTAAATAAAAATCATATTATAACAATTATACAAGTTTCAAAATCATAAAGGATGTGTCCGGATATATGCCCTTTTGGTCCCTCAGTTAAATGTATGTGAAATATGATTTTTTTTAGATTAAAAGTACCAATGGCAACATGTATGACATATAAAGTAGAAATAACTTAAAAGACCCATGAAGAATTAAAAAAATTCATATTTTTGTAAATATAATTTAGGACTTTTTTCAAAATTTTGAATTTCCTGCCAATTTAATTTGAAGGGGGAAAGCAAGATGGCTGCCATTTTATATAAGAAATATCAAAAAAGTAGCTTCACTTTTAATTTTCACAATGTGCATAGCTTTCCTGTTTGGGTTTTTTAATTGATGCTCAGTAGCTTTGAGTGACTATAATCCCTTGATTACCCAGATAAACACAAATTCACTTATCAAGAAATACCATTCAATGTCTATACAAAGAAATTAAGCAATGTTTTGGAGGATATGTTTCAAACTTTTTGTATAAATTATTCATTTAGTATATGCACTTGATTTTTTTTCAATTGTGGCATAGTGATATGCATTCTCTTTGATGCCAATATTCTCCATTAATTGTGATACAAATTGATATTTTTGTACTCTCAGAAGAAGGATTAGATATTGAGGTTTAGTAATATGTGTGATTGAGTTGGTTTTTCAGACTTTACAATTTTCAATATTTTCTAAGTCGATATCCAGACTCATTTCCAGACTCATTTCCGGACTCATCCTTTACTTACATAATAGCACCTTGGACGGTTTACTATAATTGAATTGCTGATAATTTTTACAGTAAAACCTGCGTTTGTGAGCACCTCTCGAAAACCTTGAAATTGAACATATTCAACTTTTAGCTCATTTTAATTTTCAATATTACTCCGATATAATCGATATAAATGTTATAACATGCTACTGTAGCAGTAACACTTTACATACAGGTGTAGCTGAAAACCTGTTTCATTATTCACAACTTCTCTATAGAGAGCAGGTCATCAACGAAAAAATGGTAAACAAATTGAAAATATTTTTTTACATTTTAGGAAGATGTTGACAAATAATCAGGTTCGACCTGTGGCAATATTGGCTTTCCCCATGTTCCCATTTCCCATTGATACAGATAGATAGGAAAACTGGGGGATGAATGAAATCATGATATTAAATGAAAGTGCAACGCAACTGATGAAGCAATCATGCGCTTCTTAAAAATATTATAAGAAAGATATAAGAAAACCTGCCAAAGATTAAAGGTAGTCAAAATAAAAGTACATTTCTAGCATTACACATTACGATACAATCTTCTCAACTGACATTTGATCGATTTTGTCCATTAATACAAGTACATATATTCACTGCATATAAATCCTGCTTAATCATATCTTAGAAGTATGTGTCTATTGATCTCCACGCCCATATAAAGATATATGATTGGCAGATCTGAATAGCGCAGACTGAGGTGATTTTTATTGAATCTAGGCCACTCGATCAGTATAGCGAGTATTATCAAGGTTAAACAAATAAATGTGTTGATTCAGAGGGTGAATAGGTAAGGAGAAGGGGCTGTTCATAATGTACTAGTGGCATTGATTACCAGAACTTATACCTAGTTTAAATGCAGTCGAATGGATAGCTCAAAAAATGATTCATTTCTATAGTTAGATATGTTTCAATATCAATTTGACAGCGGCAATGACGAGAAACTATGTTGAAGTCATTAGATAACGCTGGGCTGTTTAGACATCAAGCAGTTAAGCTGTAGTTATAAGATGAGGCAAGACTTGTAATCAATTAGACTTGATTTGGCCATGCTACTAATTATCAGATCAGACAAGGCTAGTAGCCATTTAGACACTATGCTAAGCTGAAGTTAAACCATGAGGTAAGGCTAGTAGCCAATTAGACACTATGCTAAGCTGAAGTTATACCATAAGGCAAGGCTAGTAGCCAATTAGACACTATGCTAAGCTGAAGTTATACCATGAGGCAAGGCTAGTAGCCAATTAGACACTATGCTAAGCTGAAGTTATACCATGAGACAAGGCTAGTAGCCAATTAGACACCATGTGGCCATGCTTCTAATTATTAGATGAGGCAAGTCTAGTAGCCATACAGGAATCATGCAGCTAGGCTTCTTGTCATTAGATGCAGCTATCTATCAGTTGGTTGGTTCTTGGCTTACAGTTTTGTCTTCTATAAGAGATCATATGATTTAATTCACCACATTTAATTAATCCAAAGAATCCCCCTGTATCTCTATGTGTGGAAGGGGTGGACGGTAAAAACTGGACTGAGAACTGGTCTGGTGTTCTTGTCCCCCATAGGGAGCAGTCTGTATTTGATTCCCATAGGGAGAAGTCTGTGCTTGGCCACCATGTCTACTGGATTGTAAAAGTGTTAGAATCTGTTCCATGGCTGAGCTCTGAGATGCAAGTTTGTTCTCTAAATTCTTCATCCTAGTATTGAGGTAGTCAAACTCTCCTTTCAGCTCTGACCTAGAAGCACAAAATGCACAAACTAATTACACATTTGTGAAGCTAAATGCACATTCTAAACAGTTTGCATTTAGGGTTTCACTTTGTGATGTCAAGGTGAAATAATCTCTAATAAATGCATATAAAAATAAAAAAGACCATTTCAATAAAAAAGACCATTTCAAAAAGGTCTATACCCCCAGGGTGCCCCTGAACGTTGAGGATATTTAAACAACCAGCATACCAATATATTCCTTACAATCTTAGAATGAACGTTGAGGATATTTAGAAACAACCAGGCATACCAATATATTCCTTACAATCTCAGTATGAACATTGAGGATATTTAGAAACAACCAGCATACCAATATATTCCTTACAATCTCAGTATGAACATTGAGGATATTTAGAAACAACCAGGCATACCAATATATTCCTTACAATCTCAGTATGAACGTTGAAGATATTTAGAAACAACCAGCATACCAATATATTCCTTACAATCTCAGTATGAACATTGAGGATATTTAGAAACAACCAGCATACCAATATATTCCTTACAATCTCAGTATGAACATTGAGGATATTTAGAAACAACCAGCATACCAATATATTCCTTACAATCTCAGTATGAACATTGAGGATATTTAGAAACAACCAGCATACCAATATATTCCTTACAATCTTAGTATGAACGTTGAGGATATTTAGAAACAACCAGCATACCAATATATTCCTTACAATCTTAGTATGAATGTTGAGGATATTTAGAAACAACCAGGCATACCAATATATTCCTTACAATCTCAGTATGAACGTTGAGGATATTTAGAAACAACCAGCATACCAATATATTCCTTACAATCTTAGGATGAATGTTGAGGATATTTAGAAACAACCAGGCATACCAATATATTCCTTACAATCTTAGTATGAACGTTGAGGATATTTAGAAACAACCAGGCATACCAATATATTCCTTACAATCTTAGTATGAACATTGAGGATATTTAGAAACAACCAGGCATACCAATATATTCCTTACAATCTTAGTATGAACGTTGAGGATATTTAGAAACAACCAGGCATACCAACATATTCCTTACAATCTTAGTATGAACGTTGAGGATATTTAGAAACAACCAGGCATACCAATTTATTCCTTACAATCTTAGTATGAACGTTGAGGATATTTAGAAACAACCAGGCATATCAATATATTCCTTACAATCTCAGTATGAACATTGAGGATATTTAGAAACAACCAGGCATACCAATATATTCCTTATAATCTTAGTATGAACATTGAGGATATTTAGAAACAACCAGGCATACCAATATATTCCTTACAATCTTAGTATGAACGTTGAGGATATTTAGAAACAACCAGCATACCAATATATTCCTTACAATCTCAGTATGAACGTTGAAGATATTTAGAAACAACCAGCATACCAATATATTCCTTACAATCTTAGTATGAACGTTGAGGATATTTAGAAACAACCAGCATACCAATATATTCCTTACAATCTTAGTATGAACGTTGAAGATATTTAGAAACAACCAGGCATACCAATATATTCCTTACAATCTTAGTATGAACGTTGAGGATATTTAAACAACCAGGCATACCAATATATTCCTTACAATCTCAGTATGAATGTTGAGGATATTTAGAAACAACCAGGCATACCAATATATTCCTTACAATCTCAGTATAAATGTTGAGGATATTTAGAAACAACCAGGCATACCAATATATTCCTTACAATCTTAGTATGAATGTTGAGGATATTTAGAAACAACCAGGCATACCAATATATTCCTTACAATCTTAGTATGAACGTTGAGGATATTTAGAAACAACCAGCATATCAATATATTCCTTACAATCTCAGTATGAACATTGAGGATATTTAGAAACAACCAGCATACCAAATATTCCTTACAATCTCAGTATGAACATTGAGGATATTTAGAAACAACCAGGCATACCAATATATTCCTTACAATCTTAGAATGAACGTTGAGGATATTTAGAAACAACCAGGCATACCAATATATTCCTTACAATCTCAGTATGAACATTGAGGATATTTAGAAACAATCAGCACACCAATATATTCCTTACAATCTCAGTATGAACGTTGAGGATATTTAGAAACAACCAGGCATACCAATATATTCCTTACAATCTTAGTATGAACATTGAGGATATTTAGAAACAGATATGATATGGAATTGTGTAAACTCAAAATTTTCTATAACTAAAATAGTATTTGAAAGCTTATCTGAAAAATGTTCTCGATATTAGAGTTGGGGTCTAATTCTCAAAATTATGTAATTTTTGATAAATTGAAAGCACTTCATAATATATATATCAAACTTATCTTTCAAAAAGTAATAATCATTAAAGATTTAATGTTTTGATCATTTACTTTGTAAAACGAAACCAATTACTTATTCTCCCACCAATATAATATGAGATAAATAAGTTGAATCTTATCAGTCATTGAAATATAAATTAATGTGGGAACCCTGGATGAAAACACTTCATATTAACCATATTAATAAAGGATTCAATATTTTTTTGTTTCGTTTTAACACCATATTGGAATTCAAAATTTATTTTCATAATATAAACTTTATTGAAGTAATGTCAATACATTGTCGTCCACCAATATTGCCATTTCGGCATTCTAGGTTGGCCATCATTTACACATAACAAAATAAATATACAATGTTTAGCTGTCTTTTAGACGACTGTGCATCAAGCGGTATCCCAGGGACTGAGAGGGGTTGGTGCCAAGTAAAAGTGGTCTAAAACAAACTAAGTAGAAGATATATAGGAGGGTAAAAGTTTCATGTATTAGGTTTCTGATGAACTTATACATGAAATATATGAATGTGTTATTCCCTCCATGAGATAATGTACACAAGATTTAAGTGATTACATTAGTTCTAATATTTTTTTTATTATTTAATCTATATTACGTATTAATGAAAATTTACATTTACTGTATTAAATCGAAACCTCATACATTTAAATAGAATAATACTTCAATAATTGTTTGTGTTTACTTTGAATTAATAATCAATGATAAAGCACTATTTAATTGAAAGTACTATTAAATTCTGTTTAATTTGTAATTAAAGGATAGCAAATGACACAATCACATTTATTTATTTATTTTTGGCAAGATCAAACTCTTAATTACCGTATTTGCCGTAATTGGCGCCCATGTTCCTATTAGCGCCCCCCCCAGACTTTTGGAGGCCCGAGGGTGAGTCCCTGGTTGAAGAATCAACGATCATTGTGGTCAAACGTAAGAAATCAAGTGGGCGATAATAGGGTCCCGGCATGTAATTCCAAAACGAGGCTGAGAAAAAAATTCAAATTTGATTCAGCAGGTATAAGTCCGTTTTCCTATAGATTTATCGAGTAAAATACCGATGTAAGTACATATTTTATATTCCATTAGTGTAGCAAAAAGAGTGGGATAGGTATGAACCCCACAGTCCATGCAAACGTGACGAATTTCAAGAACCAAAATTTTCTTCCAATTTTTTTCTAAACTGAAAGTGAAACTCCGGCATCTTTTCTCAGACGGTACTCATATGGGCGCTAATAAGGACAACTTTTTGAACTGTTTTGACTTACTTTAAGCGCCCGGGCGCCTACTACGGCAAATACGGTAATCATATTTTATCTATTTTCGTTCTTCATCTTATTTTCATTTTTCATTGGGTCAGGGACCTCGGCGTCAATTTATTTACTTGGTATAAGAGACTTGTAATATTATCACATCGATTAAAGCACTGAGACTGCAGTGTTAAGTTAAAAACTAGAGAATTTAGAATTTTATTGGTAAAATTTGATGCAGGAATATAGAAAAGTATATTTCCACATATTCATGAAAAATTGAGACATTTTGACCAATTATATTATGCAAACTGAGATTTTTGCAGTTTGAAAAATTAATTAGAAAGAACGTTGAAGCCTTTTAATACAAATAAAAAAGTTAGTACATTTTAAACATGCTGCTTAATGTTAAAGTCTCAAGCTAATTCATAAGGTTATTTCTGAGAAGTGAGGCCTTGTAAATCTATCACCCTGGGATTGAAATCAACCTTACAAAATCCGAAAAGATCATAATCCACTTATACAGAGTGGAAACTATCATTACAGAGATAATGTGTATATCACACTACTATACCTAACACCTAGAAATGCATAAGATACTTTGTTTGTCTAATTGAATTGTTTAATATATTTTTGAAAGTGCCTTACTAGCATCTAATTTTCAACCGATAAACAGTTCATAAGGAACAGACAAATAAAAACAAATACATAATCATTACTAATAAGCCAAATGGGTTGCTCATGAACACCAAATGCAAGGTATAGTAGTGTGTATATGAGTATTTAGGAATTACATCCACAATTTTGCACTGAGCCATTTTATGAATTGTGTATTTTTATAGATGAAATATTTTTTCAATGGCCCTAGTTGTCGGACACTTTACAGGGTGATCCAGAAGTAACGTCAAAGATGTTGTAATTTCAAAAGTATTCATCAGATCTTCATGAAATTTGGTATACATGTACCCACAACATTTCTGAGTTACCATCTCAAAGATTGGAATTCAATCATTTCATTGGTTGAAATTATGGTTGCTATAGTAACCCGATATCGCGTAACCCGGGGCAAATTACTTAACGTGTAATGCGTAATCTCAAAATATCAACAAGATCTGAAATTGTTATATCCTTAACATTTTATTTCACAACAATATAAATCATACAATTGCACAGTTACTAATAATAGTTCATTCTACATAATTGCCACCATTTGCAACACATTTCTCATGTCTGGATACCCATTCCTTGAACACAGAATTAAATCCATTAGAACTCATTCCTTGTAGGGCTAGTACTACGGCATTTTTCAATTCCTCACAGGATTGAAAATTATTTCCACTAAGGTTTCTTTTTAGTTCCCCATACAAATAAAAGT